CACACACACACACACACACACACACACACACACACACACACACACACGTAAACACTGTGTCAACATTAGCATGTTAGCATTTAACCTGCAGTACCCAAACATCACCCACCACGCTCCTCTTGGCCGTGTCCTCCAGTGACTGGATGACCTTTAACCTCTGTTTGAACCTCATCTGCTCAATGACATCAGAACGCAAGCTGCCGAACTTCTGTTCAGAGAAGAAAAAACAGATATTATCTCAAAAAACATCCTGGAATTAAATTGAGACACTGCGGCTGCAAGAGTTAGACCGAGACGCTGGAGCTGCAGGAGTTAGACCGAGACCCTACTGGAGCTGCAGGAGTTAGACCGAGACGCTACTGGAGCTGCAGGAGTTAGACCGAGACCCTACTGGAGCTGTAGGAGTTAGACCGAGACCCTACTGGAGCTGTAGGAGTTAGACCGAGACCCTACTGGAGCTGTAGGAGTTGACCGAGACGCTGGAGCTGCAGGGGTTAGAGCGAGACCCTACTGGAGCTGTAGGAGTTAGACAGAGACACTGCGACTGCAGGAGTTAGACCGAAACGCTGCAGCTGCCCCCCTATAGAGGGAGCAGCACACATCATCAAATCATGACGTCACTGAGTCAGTCTGACCTCATAGGACGACTTGATGAGATCAAAGACGTCAATCTCAGGTGGAGGATCGTCTCCACTCGTCAGTAGGGCGTGCAGGTGAGGGATGGGAGGAGCCACAGTCTGTTTGTTTACAACATTGTCCAGGTACCTACACACACACACACACACACACACACACACACACGTTATGCTTGCTTGGATTTATTTATTTTTCACTTATTCATACTCCAGTCTGGACTCCTACCTGCCCAGGATGGTCATGGCTTCTCCCTCGTCGCTGCAGGACAGCAGGGCATCCATGTTGTCATGAAGCACAGCCAGCGCCACCTGCAGACAGACAGACAGAGCAGTTTGATTGTGTCGTGACTGGAAGATAACCTTGATGCCCCTTCAGAAGAAGCAGCTGATCAATCAGTGAACAGTCAGTTAAGTGTAGTCTGACCTGAAAGGTGACCTTGATTCCTTCGTAGAAGAAGCAGTCGACTAATAGGACGGCGCTGTCGAAGGGCATCACAGACAGGAAGAGTGTGAGGAACCAGGACAGGCTGATGGTGGAGATCACACCCAGTTCCTGCATGTGTTCATACAGAAGAGGGAGGAAGGCTCGAGTCAGCTCCTCAAACACCCCCTGATCCACCAGAGCACCTGCAGGGACAGAAACAACATGAGAACAGGGTGGTGTTCCCTGAAGCTACACCTCACTGCAGCTGTTCCAGTATAAAATATACTCATTTATGTAAGAACAATGTTTTAGGGTTTTAGAAACACTAATGAAGAAACTGTCTGCAAGGTGGTAGACATGTCGTGTCTTCTTTAAAGGATAGGGTGGTCTAGGACTTCAACTACCTGGAGTCCACCTTAGTCAGTTTATACAAGCTGTTGCACACTGAGAACAGAACCTGACACGCTGCTGACCTACGACTCTGGTGTTGTTACTGACCTACAGACTCTGGTGTTGTTACAGACCTACGACTCTGGCGTTGTTACTGACCTACGACTCTGGCGTTGTTACTGACCTACGACTCTGGCGTTGTTAATGACCTACGACTCTGGCGTTGTTAATGACCTACGACTCTGGCGTTGTTACTGACCTACGACTCTGGCGTTGTTACTGACCTACAGACTCTGGCGTTGTTACTGACCTACAGACTCTGGCGTTGTTACTGACCTACAGACTCTGGCGTTGTTACTGACCTACAGACTCTGGCGTTGTTACTGACCTACAGATTCTGGCGTTGTTACTGACCTACAGATTCTGGCGTTGTTACTGACCTACAGACTCTGGCGTTGTTACTGACCTACGACTCTGGCGTTGTTACTGACCTACGACTCTGGTGTTGTAGTAGTCGGGCAGCATCCGCTCACACAACGCCACCAACAGCCAGAAGGCCTCCTCCTCCGGACAGTAGAGCAACAAGACAGAGGTGACAATGTTCATTGCCTGGAGGAGGAACAAGGAGAGAATATGTGTCACTTTTTTGAATACTTTAATATCTCTATCATTACTATATTTATTCATGGCCCAGCAATTTGATGTTTTTAAATGTAAATTTCAGTACAAAATATGCAATTAACAAAACTGTATTTGTACTGTATATAACTATATGTATTTAAAAATGAAAAATGAATTGCAGTCAGCAGAAAGTAGTCAATGTACTTGATGTATTTTTTCAAACTATTTTTTATGATTTACATTAAATACAGCTTTGACCTGGCAGTATTCGGTTCACTTTGCACCATTTTTTAGTTTAAAGTACCCGATCCCTGGGTTGTACTTCACTTTATTTCATATAAAATACTTTATTTTGTACCTGACAGTACCCGATCCCTGGGTTGCGGTGAGCATAGGCAGTGAGGACGCGTCGCAGCGCCGCGATACCTGTCTCGTTCTGGAAGGCTCGGTGCTCAGGCATCGAGCGGTGAAGGTCTCGCTCGATCTCCTCGGTAGCCAGCGAACACAGCCCCATGGCCTGCTCCACCAGGTCACCGTAGTAACCAGGGTGGGTCGCCATCTCGTTTTTTGCTCCTGGACCAAAAGGGGGACAGGTGAATACACAGAGTCTCAGTTTACCTTTGATATGAATGAATTAACTAACACTGACCAGAGAACAGCAGCCACAGCTCCCCTCTCAGGCGTTCTGGGATCCCGTTGAGGACGTGTTCTCTGGTTCTGGAGGTTCGGTACATGCAGACACCTCGACCAAACTCTGAGAAATGTATATTCCACGCCTCCTCTTTCATCTTCTCCTTCATCTACAGGAGGGAAAGAGAGAAGGATGGAGGGGAGGAGAAGATGGGGGAAAGTGAGAATTTACTTCCACAGTCTGACACAGGACCATTAAACTGTAGCTTAATTTCACACATCCACATCAGTCTGGATCAAAAGATACTAAACATCTGGAACCGAAACATCGCAAAACTAAATCAGTGTCTGTTGGCCCTCCTCAGTATCCAACAGTACTGCTCAGTTTCCAACATCAGGACCCAACAGTACTCTTCAGTACCTTATGCTGTGTTCACACCAAGCGCGGCGCAAATTATTCGCGCGAGTAGATTAAATACAAAGTCCATGCACAGACGTGATGAGACTGGAGTGATGCGAATTTGCTTCAATCGCCAAAACGCGGGAATTAAAAATTTTCAACTCCGGCGAAAAAATGGCCTATCAGTGTTGATATGACCTCCTGTCGTCACTGAAGTCCTGTCGTTGTTGAATCAGGAAACAAATACTGTATCTGTGTTCACCCAGAGCTCTACGATACCTCATATCAATAGAGACCGGACCAAACTATGTGTATAAATGTTGTGTGTAAACCATATGGTACAAACAATGAAAAAGACGCTGCCGTATTTACGCCGAGATGACGTTATTTTGAGTACTGATGGAGCTGCTACAATGTTAGCTTAGCCTAGCACCGATCAATCCGAACTCCATTGAGAAAATAAGCATTTTAAAAAGTGATTTGCTTGTCGTCTTGCGGAGAGAACTAACAAAACATCAATTCAGACTTTTTACAAACCGGCATCATTACGTAGTTATTTCAGCATCCCTTTTATCGGTATATTGCAATCAAATCACAGCAAAATCCGTTTGTTATCTGTTCATACAGCTATAGTAAACCAGCCGACGTGTGGCTTGCTACAGTGAATACATTGATAAAATCCAAGAAACCCAGACAAGAAGGCGTTTAGTCTCCCGGAATATCTGGGACTTCCACAACAAGTACTAAGCAGAAATAGAGGTTATTTTTTCCATGGTTGATGGCGGACAGTTGCAGGGCGATTAGCCACGACCCCTCTTCAGCGCGTCTAGCGCGAATGGCGCAATTCACGCAAATGACCACAGATGGTCCCCCGCGAGTAACGCGTCGCAAATAAATTGCGTTGCGTTTCGTGTGAACGCACCTTAAGGGCCCTCTGTATCCAACATGACTCCTCGGTACCTAAGGGTCCTCTGTATCTAACAGTACTCCTCAGTACCTAAGGGTCCTCAGTACCTAACAGTACCAGTCCAGTTCAGTATCTAAAAGGACTGTTGGGACTTGAGCTCACGGCTTTGGGTCCCAGGTCCTCCAGAGCGTCTTGGTGGTAGAGCTGCAGCAGACCATGGCTGGCTGTGGGCAGACCAGGGTGGTAATGACGCGCCCTGACAGACTCAGACCCTGAAGACAAGGACGAGGGGGCAGTGGAGGATGCCTGATGAAACAAAACACAAATCAAAACAACTTTACAGACGAGCCGCAGCTCATCTCGAACGAGCCTAATAACTTCTGATCGGACTTTGGTCCCAGCAGATCAGAACCTCTACACAAGTGACACACCGAGTGACTAATCAAAGACAGGGGGCTGGTGTCGCCCCATGAGCTGTCGGGCGTTCGCTGCAGGAAGTCAGAGATGCGTTGGACCAGGAAGTCTCTGTCTTTGAGGTTGGCAAACAGGAAGTTCATCTTGTTCTTGGTGCTGATGGAGACGGGACAAGGCAGGACGCTGCTGCTGTCCGCCTTCTCCACAATGGAAACCTGAGGAGCAGAGGATGATGGGTAAATATCACTGAGTAATGAGCATGATAATAAATAGAAACGATGGCTTGTTGCTTAGTTTGGATCATGGTCTTGTTTTTCAAATCAGAGGTACTTCTGGAGTTTAAGAAGTTCAAGTTCTACAGAAGGTCATTGTCACATCTCCCCCTCCAGGTACGACTCTTACTCCTTCAATCATCAAGGACCTGAGTGAGCTGCAGCCTGTATCAGTGACCGTGATTGTGTGAAAGCTCTGCAGCTGTGATCTGTGATTTTGTACCATTTTTGTTCTGGACTTAATCTGCTTTTGGTTGTAGGTCAATACTTACTGTATTGACCTACAATACAGTAAGTATTGTAGAAAATACAGGATTGTAACTAGAGAGGATATGAAGAAAAAAAAAAACAACAAATTCACAGTATGTACAACATTATGTCATTGGACAACCCCAAAGCTCTTTCAGACCAGCCAAACATCCGCCACTCTTTAATAAGAAACAACAACTTACTTATTTGTTAATAAATTCCTTCTCTTTGCTTATACTTCCGATTTCCCTGATTCTTTTTGCTTGGTTTCATTTTATTGTTACTCCTCTCATCCTGGTGATGAGATATCTTCTAAACAGAGCAGGCTTTGTGTATTTACAGGGAACACTCCACCAGTAGCTGTGTCACTTTAGATTGTATTGCTAGAATGTGTGGAGAGAAAATAATATTTTGTCCGTAATAATCTGTCCAAATTCAAGCTTCATGGGTTGTGTTCAACATATTTAAAACAAATTACATGTTTTCATTTGTTTAAAGTAGATTAGTTAGTTCAGGGCTTTAATGTCCACAATGTAGAAATTTGTCTTTGGGCTCAAACACATAATTAAAAACGACTGATGAGGATCAAGACAAATTATCACCAAACAACACGACTTTAAGGCGATTGATTGACAGCTTTGTTTACCTCTCTGAGAGGGATGATGAGTTGACACAAGCCTTCTTCTCTGCTGTTAAAACAGATGTAGTTGTTGGAGATGAACAGCTGTCCGACCACGTGCATCTTAGCGAACGGCGTCCACAGCGTGCAGTCCGTGTGTCCGTCCAGACGCTCCTCCGGCGTCAGCCGGAACATCATCCGGTAGTGCTCGTTCTTCGCCCTCGCGTCCAAATCTCTGCAAGACAAGAACAGGAAACACCTGGTCATTTCAAAGGTCCAGGACAGAAAAGGTCCAAGACAGAGAAGGTCCGGGACAGAGAGGTTCGGGGCAGAGAAGGTCCAAGACAGAGAAGGTCCAGGACAAAGAAGGTCCAGGACAAAGAAGGTCCAAGACAGAGAAGGTCCAGGACAGAGAAGGTCCAGGACGGAGAAGGTCCAGGACGGAGAAGGTCCAGGATGGAGAAGGTCCAGGACGGAGAAGGTCCAGGACAGAGAGGGTCCAGGACAGAGAGGGTCCAGGGCATAGAAGATCCAGGACAGAGAAGTTCGGGACAGAGAAGTCCAGGACAGAGAAATCCAGGCTGACACGCAGGAACAAAAAATGATCCCTAACATCCCAATTCACAAAAAACAGTGTACATTGTTTTGTTTATGTAAATATATTACATTACAAACTATAGAATCTCCTAATCTAAATCTCAAATCAGCAAAAAAACATGTATTTGTTACTAATTTACAACCTTACTCTGATCAGAGGAAACCCTGGCAGCTTGAAATCAGGTGTACAGTTACTGAACAGAGTGATACCTCTTGAGCGCAGAGACGTTCTTGAGCGTCTTGCAGGGTTTGGGCAGCGAGCGGTCGGCAGCAAAGGCCTCGTTGTCGAGAAGCTGGCGCATGGCGATAGTGGCGAGCTGCTCCATCAGCTTGAAGGTGTCGTTGATGTTGAGGAACATGGAGAAGAAATGTTCGGTATTACGCGTGCTGACACGAACACTCTCCGGAAACACCAGAGTGGCGTTCTTCTCCAGCTGGGTCACCTCCATCCACTGAACCACCAGGGTCACTGAGAGGAGAAGTCATACAAATATACACGGTGATTGTGTCATCTTATTTCAAATAGCTTTATTCCAAAGAATTATTAAAGAGTAACTTAATACTAAAAGCAATTCTTCACGTTATTAAATCAAATTTAGAGTCACTTTATTATTGGCTGGTAATACTTTTGGGTCACTCCAATGGTAACTCCAGAAGTACCTTCAGACAACTCCGGAAGTACCTTCAGACAACTCCGGAAGTACCTTCAGACAACTCCGGAAGTACCTTAAGACAACTCCGGAAGTACCTTAAGACAACTCCGGAAGTACCTTAAGACAACTCCGGAAGTACCTTAAGATAACTCCAGACGTACCTTAAGATAACTCCAGAAGTACCTTAAGATAACTCCAGAAGTACCTTAAGATAACTCCAGAAGTACCTTCAGGTCTCTATATCAGTGCTTTCAGGTAACCAAAGAATTACTGCCTCGTAAATACAGAAGTACTTTCAAGTAACTCCAGAAGAAACTGCAGTAGTATATTGTGGTACTTGTGGAAGTTGTTGGAGTGTGTTTAAAGTAAAACACTGTGTTAATTTACTCTTTAATAGAGACAACAGGACATAAAAGTGTCTCCCGTTTCCTCTTGCACAGACTGTATAGATGACATCATTAAACTCTGTCCTGTGATTGGCCGGTCGTACCCTCCTTGCCCAATAGGAAGGAGTAGAAGCACAGGTGGTTGACGGACAGGTAGAGCCAGCCCTGCCGTGGCACTCGGCCCTTCCAGTAGCTGCAGGAGTAATAATTCACCAGCTTCTCCTCCTCAGGCATCCCGAACAGCCTCCTCATCTTTAGCTCCGCCTCTCGAAACTTCCCACAATCTTCCTCCTGCTCCTCCTGCTCCTCCCCCTGCTTCAGCCGGTTCTCCTCCGCAATGATGCCCTGCAGGAAATGACATCACTTACTGACACGATCACACACACAGGAAAAGAGAAACGACCTCACGGGGTCAAACAGGAAGTGACATACAGATATCTTTCCTTTGACGAAGGTGGTGACGTCTTCATCGTTGTCAAAGATGGAGATGGTCTGGAGCAAGTTGGACTCCAGCCAATCCCAGTGCTCCGTGATCTCCTTCCTGGATGAGCCTGTAAGACACAACTGAGGGTCAACAAACAAGTCACAAATACTCAGCCAATCGCAGCGGTCCTGGTCCAGCTGACCCACCACAGGCCACGTTCCAGTAGATCCGAGAGTCCGCAGTCTGCAGCAGGATCCTGTAAGGAGCCACTCTTGCACTGGAGTCCAGCACCACATCCAGAGTCCCAACCAAGAGACCTTCACACAGAAAGACAGGGACAGAGGTAAACCAGTAGACCTTTACACAGAGAAACAGGGACAGAGGTAAACCAGTAGACCTGAACACAGA